TACTTCAGAAGGTATTATTGATATTTTTATTATTTTAGTTTTTAATTACATAACTACACTCCTTATATCCCAAAAGGTATAATTTCAAGCTAAAGGAGCTTTAATTCTGAAAGGAGAATTTATCAATTAATCTGGTATTGATTTAAAGACATTATTCAAACAAAAAGGAAGCTACTTGTTAGATGACTTTAAATAAAAGTGATTTTGATAATTTATCAAAAAAAATAGAAATAAAATTACAATCAATATCTAATATTTACTTTTATTATTTCTTTATCAGATTCTACTTTTCATCTCACTTTCAAGCTAGGTAAGTTCTTATTTTTAAAAGTTTTTTTTCCATTTCAGTTATATATACACATCATTTATTTATTTGAATATTATTAAAATTTTCAGTTTAGTCTCACAAATATTTATTGAGATGTCATAAAAAACTGTTATCAATTAATATTTATATTAATTGAAATCAAATGATACTTCATTTAAAAAAATACTCTACCAAAGTTAGCTATGATGAGGCTAAAAGAAAGTATGAAATAATTACTTAACGAAAACTACAAACTGTATTCTTATTATATCATCTAGGATATTTTGATTGTTACTAAATTTATTCTTATCTTTAAAAGGGAGTGGAATTAATAGTTAAAATTAAGAGTTTTTATTATTATTTAGTTTTTTAGTTCATAAATGGAAAAGTTATTTTTATTACAAAAATAATTAATTGATATGTCAAGAATTTAAAAAATAAAGTCAAACTTAGAAAAAATGTAAACGATAACAAATTTAAAACAATATGATTTTTAGAATTACTCTGCTCTTGATAATATTTTCATAACTTGTTATTATTATCTGTCAATTGATTTTAACATTATAAGATATTTTTAAAGGCTGAAAAGATATATCAATCATCAAGAAGTATGATATTATTGAAAGGATTAATATTTAAGGAGGTAATTATATCTCCCTTAAAAACCACCTAATAATCTTAAATACTGACTAATTTAAGCTATATGTGAATTCTTACATAAATATAAAGGTTCAACTTTCAACATTTATAAATCACTGAGATTATGTAAACAGCATTTTTAATAGTTAGAACTATATTATGATTGTTACCTTCAAAATGATATTATCTAAATTAATTTATATATCGACAAAAATAATATCTTTTAAAACTTTAACAACTCATCAACTGATTACATGTAAAATTAAATTAAGAAATTACCCTAAATAAATATTTAATAATTCAACATTTTGTCTATCGAAAGATTGAAGAAAAAGTAGAATTAAAAAGGAAATGATGATTGGTAATGTATTATACATTTCCATAATGGATAGTGTTAAAGTAATTCAATTTTCATTATCTATAAAATGAGATTAACCCCTCACCAACATTAGATTAATTGCATGAAAAATCTATAGAACTTACCAAATATATTAAAAGTATGAAATTAATGATATTAATTATTGGGATGCAAATTTTTTCTTTTATTAAAAAATAATTCTTCAAAAATATTCTTTTTTTCAATTAAAATTTCAAGATTTAAGGTTTAAGTTTTTTAGAAATTTAATTTAAAAAGCGATGATTTAATGTCGCAGTAGAATTTTTTAATTTAAATTCAAACCCATTGAAGATTTAAACAAGATCCCTTTTAGAGAGTAACACAATTATAAAATAAATTTATTTGTTATGCTTGAAAATGATTAACATAATGAATAGAGCCTATGGTGTGAGAAATGCCCATAAACAAAGATAGATGTCTTAAACGTAATTTCAATTTATGAAGCAGATTCAAGAATAAAAAAATAATAAAATAGACATTGCTTGAGTTACATTTCTATCTCAAATAAAAACTAAAGTATATTGATGAATTTTCAATGATCATAAAAATATAATTTTAAATATTAGAATAATCTATAAAAGATACTGAAAAAAGAATAAATTTATGGAAGGATCAATTAATAAAAGTTAGAGTTGACCAGTGTACATATAGCTTAATACAAGAAAATTCCAATTTAGATAAGGAAGAAAATTAATGGGCGCAAGAAAAATAATTGATTTCTCAAAATTAAATAAATCTTATTGATTAACTTCATAGTATTAAGCTAAAACTAATTGTTGATGAAATCTAACTCTAAATTTAGAACATTGTAAAATCACACGAACAACTTTATACTAATATCTAAATCCCTTTATCTAATCAACTAATCCAAGTTAGAATAAATGTAACTTTAAAAAGAAAATCTATCATAAAACGAAGGATTTTACAAAAAACTCTTTAACGAATTAGTTTAAGAGATAAGATAAAATAAAATATGTTATGCTATAGGATAAATAGAAATGATTCTATAATGGCCGCTGGATATAATTAATGTATAAAGATATGGAAGATAGAAAATGAAAAATTTATTGATTCATAAATTATTTTATTAGGGAAATTAGAAGTGGATTTTGCTATTTGCATAGCTTTTAGTAAAAGAACAAATCTCTTTGTTTATGAAGTTATGATTGTAGTATAAGAATATGGTTTGAGATTGTGAATGACAAATGAAATCCATCGCATCCTTCAAATGAAATGTCTCAATCAGGAATGGTCACTTGCATTCTTTTTAATTAATCTGAAGATTAAGTGATATCAGGCAGTCAGGATAATTCTATAATCATTTGGAGAATTAATGGTACTTTTATTGAATTCGATTAGTAGTTAATTAAGCA